TGTTCCCTCCAGAATGAGTTTCTTTCCCCCTTGCCGAAACATTGGACTCCTTTGTTTACTTTGAGAAAATTAAAGAACCTTCTAAACATTAAAGCTTCACAGTAAAGGCACACTACAAATATGAACCTGGAAATGAGCATCAGGTGTCCTCTTTAAGACCCAATCCAAACTGTAAACAGGTTTATTTCTGCTGTAAAGTGGTGCTTTTTAACTTGGAGATCGAGGGAGATTGTTCCCTTTAGATCCAGCCTTAAGTCGTTATTTGATGAAGTTCAGGTTTTGGCACTTCATCTCTGCGCCTCGGAGGTTGCCCCTTGGGTAAAAGAAAAGGATTTCTGTAAAAGTCTACAAATACATGCTGCAAGCCACTGGCCTGATTTACATCCTACCTCCCCACATGATTTAGTACTACTATAACTCACTTACCGTACCCTTCAAATCCACAGTTTGGCTCAGATCAAAATGTTGTTTTTTGGTGTGAATTAGCAAAAACACTAAGCAACACTGATGTAGATTAACTATATAAATTCACTTCACATTAAGTTAATTCGGAGCATGATTGACTCTATTAGTTCCCTTACTAATTGACCTGCAATCTAAGGTTCATGAGCAGCCATCTGCCACCTGAGGTCTGAACAGGAAACGCTCCCGGTGGCAAGAATGGTTTTTGCTCTCTGTTTCAGAACAACGAATCATGACTGAACGGTCTGCACACTGTGACAAATGCAGAAAATAAGCCTCACAGTTTGCTCTCTGAGGAAGAGCTAGACCCGTAACATCTGTGCATAAAATCATATTTCTCACATAATTCAGTGTGCAAGCTCATTAAAACAAGTCAATTCAAAGTGCCTTACAACAAACACAAAAAGCATTACGAAATGGCAACTAAAAACATTACAAAATTGTATTTAAATGCATACTCGAGAATATAAATAAACACATGCTAAATATAGAAAAAGACTGGTTTAAATGAATAAATTAAAGGGCAGAATCAGAATTCCTTTAAACCGTCCTGCAGCGGGGAAATGTAAAGCGTTACAGCAGCAACAGTACAGATAAAAGGAAAAGCGTTTACTTGTATATTCAATAAAAACACATACATTTAAAAAAATATATAAACAAATAATACACCATGGTAAAAAAGTAGCATATGTATTTTAAAACGTATGCGATTCTAAAAACGTGTTGAAAAAGCCTGTAAGGTTAACAAAATGAACAACAATGTTAATTGTATATAAGTGTATATTGCAAAAGAGCACTGGTATTGCACAGCAGGTTTTCTATTTACAGGCAGTGTTATTGAACATCAGTGATAGTCTTTGTTGGGGTGGTGCTCTGCCAGGGAAAGATACATGCAGTGTAAGATAATGTATAAATAATATTTAGAAAACAGAAAAGTCGTCTTTTTGATTTGAACGTCGTTACCATGAAGTGTGTGTTGTTGCATTTACGAGACGGCTCTGCACTGAGGCCACAGTTTGTCCTTGGGTCTGAGTTTTACAAGAGTCAAATGTCAGTTTGGGTTTTAATCAGACTTTGAATCTAATTATGTTGAATACACAGACGGTAGAACCTCTATGTGTAATGGCTTTTCCGCTCTGCTGTCAGAGCCGTTCTCCTCCTGTACGGACAGGCAGGATTGTTGTAGAAATAAGAAACCCAGTTACCGACTCACGGCCAGGAAATCGCACTTTACTGGGAGGAATCTAGCTCGGGGAATCAGGTTTCTCTTAACTCCTTAACCCGATAACAAAAACCAGGTTTCCTATTTAAATTGCATTTAAGAAATCAGATTACTGCAGGAGTAAACTGATTACTTGAGTGCAGGTAAACGTTCCCACTGTCTCTATGTAACAGCAGCAGTACTGTACAGATTATGATCTGAACTAAAAACATGATGTATCCTCATCGTACAGCAGCTATTGGATTCTCCAGCATTACATATCATATATTTTAAATCACTATCATTTACTCAAAGGCCCTATTATAGTTTGGGGGGTTTTCCCTTTCCTGTAGTGTTATATAGGTTTTAGTGCATGTAAAGGTTCTCTCCAACACACTCCTCTCGGACGTAAACACCTTCATTTGACTCCTTCGTTTACTTCTGTGACATCACATCATGACATGTAACTTCTAAGGGGCGGGACATCTCTTAGCGGTTGACCAATCACAACAGAGCCGACCAGCTAACCAATCAGAGCAGACTGGGCTCTGGTTTCAGACAGAGGGTGAAAAGAGGTGCTGCAGCACAGGTAGTAAGAGAGAATAAAGAGCTTTTTGAACATTAAAGCATGGAGACATGTAGAGACACTACATACTGATATACACCTGAACATCAGCAGGAGAGGACTCTTTAAAGTAGAGACACTACATACTGATATACACCTGAACATCAGCAGGAGAGGACTCTTTAAAGTAGAGACACTACATACTGATATACACCTGGACATCAGCAGGAGAGGACTCTTTAAAGTAGAGACACTACATACTGATATACACCTGGACATCAGCAGGAGAGGACTCTTTAAAGTAGAGACACTACATACTGATATACACCTGAACATCAGCAGGAGAGGACTCTTTAAAGTAGAGACAATACATACTGATATACACCTGAACATCAGCAGGAGAGGACTCTTTAAAGTAGAGACACTACATACTGATATACACCTGAACATCAACAGGAGAGGACTCTTTAAAGTAGAGACACTACATACTGATATACACCTGAACATCAGCAGGAGAGGACTCTTTAAAGTAGAGACACTACATACTGATATACACCTGAACATCAGCAGGAGAGGACTCTTTAAAGTAGAGACACTACATACTGATATACACCTGAACATCAGCAGGAGAGGACTCTTTAAAGTAGAGACAATACATACTGATATACACCTGAACATCAGCAGGAGAGGACTCTTTAAGTAGAGACACTACATACTGATATACACCTGAACATCAGCAGGAGAGGACTCTTTAAAGTAGAGACACTACATACTGATATGGTTGAAGTAGATGGTTTAGCATGTGTTGGTGCCCAAATAAGTGGTTCAATTAAAAGCATTTCATACTGACTCAGATACATTTAATCAACTTATATATTTATTATTATTTTTGATTTAATTAATAACTTATTTTATTTAAGAATTATTTTATTTTCCATACAAACATGCGCTTCACTGTTTTCTTTACCACAGAACACCTGTATTGCAGTTGTTATTCTATCAGTGTGTTGCGATGTTCTTCATCTCAGTGTATTCTTTTAGTAAAGCACTTTGAAATTGCCGTCCTTGTCTTGTCTCAATCCATCATGATGACCTTGCGTATGTTCCTCTTCACATTTACAGAAAACCCAAAGTTGAAAAGATAAAGCCCGAGAAGAAAGCCGACCCAAAGGAACTTCTGAAGAAGAAGAAAGGTTTCCTGCCAGAGTCAAAGAAGCGTAGGAAGCGAGACATTCCCATCTTGGAGCCGGCGGCCGCGGCAGCCGCAGCGGAGCAGGCGGCCCTCAGAGGGGGGAAACCTGCAGCAGGCACAGGTCACTGGAAAAAGAAACATGACAAGAAACCTAAACAGAAACGACCAGCCGATGGAGCAGCAGCCGCCGCCGCAGCTTCTCCAAGCCCAGCCAAGAAGAGCAAGACAACGACGACATCTGAGAGCAACTCAGCCAAGAAGAAGAAACCCAAACAGAAGAAATAGGGAGGAGAAGTGGACAATGTTTTTTAGAGGCTGTGCTTTTTTGTTTCCGTCTTTCCTTGGTTGCGATTTAGTTTCAGACATGTTCGTTTCAATATGAGATGTTGTAATACATATTGAGACTTCAGATGTGTGGGCCATGACTTTAGATGGATTATTTTTCTAACGTTTGACTTGAAGTAATGTCTACAACAATAAATGTATTTCTCTTCCCTGAGATTCATGATGCTCCCACTGCAGTTTCTTTTGTGCTTTATTCATACGAAACTTTTGTAATATGTAAAAAGCAACTAAACATTACCAAGTATAAATATGTTATGAGTCTAAGATACATCTTTGTTTGATTTTTTCCAAGTAATGTTATATTTTGCAGTGAGTACAGTATTCTCAACTTGATACTGTCACAGAGATCATTCAAATTAGCCCCTAAAAGTGGTCAAGGTTTATTTATTTAGTCAAAAAATACCAAAACCAACCTCCAGTTTGCTTAAAAAGGTGACCTACTATTAATTAAACAAAGTTCAATTGTACAGCTTAGCTTTTTAATATCAGTATCTTAAAGGTGGGGTAGGTAATTCACTTCAGAAACACTTGTTATATTCCATGGAATGCTCTTAACATCCCGATAGCAATGAATACATGAAATGCTTTGACAATAAATACGTACAAAAATGTCATCTGTGGAAGCCGTGGTGCGGTAAACAGCACGACCAATCATCTGAGCCGGCCCGGCTAAAGTAACTGGATGGCGCACTCGAGCTGGTTTCCATTCTTACCTACCCTACCTTTAAACCAGGGGTGTCAAACTCAAGGCCCGGGGGCCAAATCCGGCCCGCGACTTCATTTCATGTGGCCCGCAAGAGCTCTGAAAGAATGTAATATGTTTATTATACGGTTACATGCCGATTTACAGATGCACGATGTCCATAAACTAAATGTCCCACAATGCATTGTTTTTAATGTCACTTTTTTTTCAGAATTTGGCTTTTCTTTTAAAATAATTTTGTGACATTCTTACTAAAGAGACTTGCACTTATTTGCCCTAGACTTCTTCTTTCAGACGTAGTTATTTATGAAGTTTTTACCCTATCTGATAATAATCCAATGCAGAGGCAATAAAGTAATTATATTAAATATATGTGTTTATATAGTCTTGAAGTTACAACCGGCCCTTTGAGTGCAACCATAATGCTGATGTGGCCCGTGATGAAATTGAGTTTGACTCCCCTGACCAAGAGGTAAAATAAATCGTTACCAGATCTATAATATGTGTTAGAAAAATATCACTCGACACCAGGTTGAGAATCAATGATCAGGTACTAATTTATTCTTGCAAGAAGGATCAGAGTTAAATCACATACAAAGGATATGGGTTAACTCACACACATGGGGTATGTTGCTCAAAGGAACAGCAAAAAACATCAGGCTTATATAGTCCAAAACACAGGAGATAACAACAAAGTCGTAAATCGAGATGGCGCTAATATCAGCCGCGGGTGTCGGAAAGTCGGGTCATCTGCAATGGGTCATCTGTGACGTCTTCTGGAAAGAGTCACGTACTTCCTTCACGCTTCATAGAAATAAGATATTTAGGAGACAGCAAGTCTGTCTTCTCATAAATATCAACAACCTGAAATGCCCTGCCTCCTCCTATCACAAGAAGAGGCAGCTGCAAGGTCATACACAGTTCAGAGCCACACATGATATCAGTGCATTAAAACAACCCAAAGAGTGGAGAAAACAGTATTTCTCCAACATATCCCTCCTGTTTATACTACGGAATAACATAGAACTTGGAAAATACAAATGATTATAAAGATTAAAAATTCATATACAAAAGTACCCACACGGCTGAGGTAGGTAGATTGTATGTTACATGTTAATGTAATCCGAATGGATGCCATGGCCTAATTCTTTCTCTGTACATCGTCAGTTCCTATCACTCAGACCCGTTACTGTTTCCCTGCTAACGTCCACTCTTTAAATTATACTGGGTTCTGTTGGTTTCTTCACTGGTTTGAGACAAGTGCCCTTATTGGAATCACCTCCCTTTGTAGCCAGACTTCACCACAGTAGAGGCGAGTTTCTGTCTTTAGGTTTAAACAGCTTCACAGTCAGATGTATCCAGGATGGTCTCTCCGCCACTCTAACTGCAGTCGGTGTAGACAGGAGTGCTTGGTAGGAACCCTCCCACTTGGGCGAGTGCCAGCTCTTCCTCTTTATCGCTCTGGTGAACACTCACTCTCCTGGTTTCACTGTCTGTGTGGAGTCAGGTACTTCCTGTGCAGAGGGGACAAGAACATTTGTGATCTCTTTTCTTCTCAACATTTTTGCCATTTTCACTCATACCCTCGTCCTCTCTTACAAATGGTTTTAACTCAGGCAGATATATGGTATTCCATATAACATTTCAAAAGGTGATAGCCCTCTAGCACTAGGTAATCCTGAATTACTTTATTTACAAAGTGTGTGCCATTATCACTATAGATCTTTTCCGGAATTCCAAAACGTGGGATTATGTGATTTGTCAATGCTTTCTCCACTGTCAATGCATCTGGATTCCTAGTTGGAAAAACTTCAATCCATTTTGAGTACATGTCAATGATTGTTAGACAATATTTCATTCCCTCACATTTATTTAGTTCAATAAAGTCCATGCAAATGTGCTGAAACGGATACTGGGGCTCCGGTATTTTACCTCTCTTTGGTCTGAACTGTCCCTGAGGGTTATACTGTGCACACACAGAACATGCTTAACCATTTTACTACTTTTAGTACTTTGTAAAGCCATAGGCTGTGAATATCTTCTGTATTACGTCCACCATTCCCACTGTTGAGCCGTGGTCCAACCCATGGCTCAATATAGCTGCATATCGAAATAAGCTTTTTGGTAATACAAATTTGCCTTCTGTACTTTCCCACAACCCCTCTTTATTCTGTGTACACAACTTCTTCTTCCAGTATACCTTTTCTTTGTCAGGTGCATTCGCTTGCATGTCTTTTAGGATGTCATGATCAATGTGTTCCATATATTCAGAAATATATTGGTCATTGTCCTGTCACTGTCACTGCGCTGCTTTCTTAGCCTCTTCATCTGCCTTTTGGTTCCCTGTGGAAATTGGGTCCGTCCCTGTAGTGTGTGCTGCACACTTACAGACAGCCACTCTCTTAGGGAGTTGTACTGCATCCAAAAGTGATAGGATCAAATCTTTATCAGGGCTCGACATTAACGACTAGGTAATCCTTTTTTAAATAAATCAATTCAATTAAATACTGCATCCAAAAGTGATAGGATCAAATCTTTAGTGTAATAGGTTTGTTTGTGGATGTTACCATCCCCCTATTTTTCAATTGTTGTGCAAACACATACATGAATAAGCATAGTTGCTGTCTGTATAAATGTTAACTGTCTTCCCTTTTCCCAGCTTGCATGCCTCTGTTAGTGCGATTAGTTCTGCTGCCTGTGCTGATAAGTGAGACGGCAAAACTGCGCCCTTGAGCAGTTTCGTCTGTGTCACTACAGCATAGCCTGTTGCATTAGTTCCATCAAGATTCCTCTTACATGAACCGTCAACATACATCGTTATGTCTGCATCTGGGAAGGGAATGTCCGTCAGGTCTGTCCTTGGTAACACTCTGTTCTCAGTTTCTGCGATACAGTCATGTGATTCCCCATCTATCTCTACTGGCAGTAGTGTAGCTGGATTTAAAGTAGTACATCTCTCGATAGTAAGATTTGGTTGTGATAACAACGTAGCCATGCATGCTAAATGTCTAGCTGGTGACATATAGGTTTGTTTATTTTGTAACAATAGTACGGAAACTGTGTGAGTTACTTTTAGAGTCAAGGATCTAAAAAGCACTATTGTTGCAGATGCCTGTACTGCCATGGAGGCTGCTATTACTGCTTGTAAACAAATGGGCATGGCTCTTTCCCCCCATGTAGTTGAGTGAGTACTGACGTCATAAATCCATTCTTACAATCTGCTGATTGAACAAACGGTTTTGCATAATCTGTTACATCTATTCCCATTACTTTTAAGGTAACAAATGGTTTCTCTACGTGAGCCAGCATTAATTCTACTGTACCTAATTCTAAAATCTCCACTTCCTCATCGGATGAGCTGATAGACACGTTATCTGAACTTGCTTCTGTGTCACCGTCAAGGTCTGAGTAATTTTGTTTTAGGTCATCTTGATTTGGGTTATCTTGTTTTGTAGTTGTTTGTTTCTGTTGTTTGACTTTCTACGTTAACCTTTCTCATCTGTTCAGGGTCTATGTTTGTGTGCGATAATACATGACCTGATTTTGCAGATGCACTTGGCTCTAGTCATGCCTTCTCCACCCAGTCCTCCGTTCCCTCCTGTGCCGCCTGTGCTGGGCAGTTCTCTTTCCAATGCCCAAATCTGCCACATGTGAAGCAACTTCCCTCCGGGACTTTTCCTCCTCCCTGTCCTCCACCTCGTGCCCCACCTCGCCCTCCACCTCGTCTGTCCCTTCCGTCCACACCCTCTTTGATCACCTCGGAAAAGCAATTCAACAGAACATACAGAAGTGTAATCATCAGATTCATCCTGTGTTAAAAACACGGCAGTTTGCTTTTGTTTCTTTTGTTTCTTTTGTTTGCCAATTTCACCCCAGTCCGTTTAAATGCTCCTCTTAGAAAATCAGTCACATTCCCTGATATATTCATAACGGGCATTCTGAATGTCTTACCTGACCGTGTGTTGCTGGGTTCCTCCCTCATGCCGGCTGTTCTCTGCGCGGGAGCATGAGGGTCGGTGGGTGGAGGTGGGTGGTAGGGCGGAGCGGGGGGCCAAGGCAGCGGAGTCGGTGGGGGAGCAGAGGGGTGAGACGAGCAGGAGGTCAGGGGTCCGAGGAGATCCCCGGGGTGTTGAGCTGGTGCATGGTTTTCATCTATCCATTGCTCCTGCATCACAGCAGGTCCCACAGGAGGGAGATACGGAGGAGGGGGTTGGCGGCGTCTGCATATCACTTGATCGTCAAGTTTCTCCAGTTTCTCGGAATAGGGGAGATTAGGATACAAGTTATACAAAACCTCATTTTCTGATTTCTTCTTTTCTGAGTTAGCTTTTTCTTTCTCTGATGCTGCTATTTTCTCAGCTCTTTGTCTCCTCTCTACCTCTCTCTCATGTCCTTCCCTTCTATTCCTTGTTTCGGCTAACCACATCATAGCCCCTAATAAATCCTCTTCTTCCTCCCTTTTTCTATTCCCGTTACATTTGTTCTCGATGCTATCAATCAATTGTTGGCATTCCTCTACCACTAACCTCCCTTGGAAGTTGTATTTATTTTGCCACTTTTTAATCTCTTCACACTCGTTCCATGCGATCACCTTCATCCATTTAGCATCTCCTGATAAGATGACTATTTCTGTTTCTATCTTCTTCCCACGGGTCTTGCTGCAGCATGAACCCATGATGATTAGACTTCTATAGTTTTCTCCAAAACTAAGTAAAAATGCCCTATAGCTTACGCATAAACTATAAAACTCACAACGGTTTTAGCAAAACCCAGAACACTAAACTGTCCTAGTTTCCCCCAAAACTAGGTCAAATACTCATAGCCGTACCTCGTACTATAAGCTCACAATAGTTTTAGCAAAACTAAGAAAACTAAACTGTCAAAGTTTTCCCCAAAACTCATGCCCATAGCCGTACTCAGTCTCCCACTATAAAATAGCCGTACCTTGTATCCTACTATAAACTCACACAATAGTTTTAGTAAAACTAAGAAAATGTAGGCCTACCCTATGTCCACCCACGAACTATAAGATCCTTTAGTTTTTTAATTAACTAAAAAAACTGACCTCATAGTTTGAACCACAAACTACTTTTACCCAAGGCCTCTAGTTTGAAACCACAAACCATTTAAAAGTAGCCTACTTTAGATAAGTTTACCTGTGTCTTTCTAGGACTTTTTTGGTATCCTTCCGCGAACCAGGGGTTTGAAACCAAAACGGAGCCTGTATTGACGTTCTCTCCTGTGTCACTCTCTCCTCTCCAGCGTAACCTGGCCCCCCTATTACCAAATTGTTTATTTGTAAGGGAAACAAGGTAGGGGTCTTTTTCTCTCGACTACCTGTGCACAGTGTCAGGCTCGTTTGCCCGGAGAAAAAAGGAGATCTTGGATCCGGCTCGAAGGACCAATATGTTAGAGCTGTACTGTACTGTACCCAATATACAAGCTGTTAATAAACTTTTCAATCAATTAGAAAAATATCACTCGATACCAGGTTGAGAATCAATGATCAGGTAACTAATTTATTCTTGCAAGAAGGAGCAGAGTTAAATCACATACAAAGGATATGGGTTAACTCACACACATGGGGTATGTTGCTCAAAGGAACAGCAAAAAACATCAGGCTTATATAGTCCAAAACACAGGAGATAACAACAAAGTCGTAAATCGAGATGGCGCTAATATCAGCCGCGGGTGTCGGAAAGTCGGGTCATCTGCAATGGGTCATCTGTGACGTCTTCTGGAAAGAGTCACGTACTTCCTTCACGCTTCATAGAAATAAGATATTTAGGAGACAGCAAGTCTGTCTTCTCATAAATATCAACAACCTGAAATGCCCTGCCTCCTCCTATCACAAGAAGAGGCAGCTGCAAGGTCATACACAGTTCAGAGCCACACATGATATCAGTGCATTAAAACAACCCAAAGAGAGTTGAGTAAAGTTAGAACGATATTGGCAGATTCGGATTTCACGGATCAACTCATGAACAAAACTTTATTCAGACACAAATGACGTCTCCTAAGTACCGTGGTAAGGTTGACAACGAACTACAATCACATGTTGATAAAAAACAAAACAATATGCGCCGTCCGCCAAACTGGAAACATTACATTGGGCTCTATCTGCAGCCGGAGAAGAAATGAGTGCTCAGGGACCGTCTGCAAAGTGCAACTCCGAAAAAAGAAAATACAATAATATTCAATCACTTCACTATTATACAGTATATTTCTACCAAACTCACTACACACATCAATAGTCTCCTGGTGGTCAGACTACAGCAGAGAGTTTGGAAGAATATGGTTTGGAATAATTTTGGGGAAGATTTATAATGTATTATAACATACTGTATAGACAATGTTACACATTGTCTATACAGTATGTTATATATAAATTAAGACATGAAATAACTTTTTCATTAGCTATGAAACAGTAAAATTGTCACAATCTTATGAAGGACCCAAATGCAGCACTCGAGAAACCAAGGAGTATTGGTAATGAACTTTATTGGTAATAATACCAGAGCAGAGGGATACCAGCAGAACAGTATCAGCCGGATGATGTGCAGGCAAACGAACCGGAGGACAGCGGGCAGAAGGTGAGTCAGGGCCGGTCAGGGAGCAGGCGAGGCGGTCAGCGTAGGTACAGGCAGGGTCAGGGAGCAGGCAGAGCAGGCAGGTCGGGGACAGGTAGGGTCAGGGAGCAGGCGAGGCAGTCAGCGTAGGTACAGGCAGGGTCAGGGAGCAGGCAGAGCAGGCAGGTCGGGGACAGGCAGGGTCAGGGAGGAGGCGAGGCGGTCAGCGTAGGTACAGGCAGGGTCAGACAGCAGGCAAGGCAGGATAGTCCAAGGACAGGCAGGATCAGGGAGCAGGCAGAGCAGGCAGGGTCGGAACCGGGTAGGCAATCTGGTAACAAACGCGTGAAAGACTAGCATGAAGGCAAAGTACGATCAGGCAACGGGTGTGTGTCTGGTGAGGGTTTAAATACTGGCAGTAAAGCTAATGGGTGCAGAAGAGAAAGAGAGTGAGCAACAACGTGGGTGTGGTTAACAGGTGAGACAGGTGAATGGAAAACTGCTGGTGAATGATGGAACAGACTGTGACAAAATAAAGTTAACATTGAAAAATAAAACATTTTAGGCTTTTCACCTACTGTACAATATTAATGAACAAATCCACAATTTAATGTCAGACATGGAAAACATCATGAACATCTATGACTACTTTAATCTGTAATTGAAAATATATTTAACATCTTAATTAAGAATATAACAATTTAAAACTATGGACAGGTGATTATTAATCATTACTTCAGTTGCCCAAAATCTTTAGCAAAGCTTTTTTCTGGATTTTTGTTTGTTTTGTACAAAATTCAGCTTTCATTTAGCCGATTTCAAATCACTGGCTGGGCTGGATTTCCCCCCCACATGCCGTTTGTAAGCGCACTACTTCTACTGTGGTAGTAGTTCAAACTACAAGCCTTACCTCCCCAAATCCTGGTACCTCTGGTAAAAGTTACACAAACTCACCTCTAGCCTCTTTAGTTTGGGAGGATACACAACACACAATACCACGGGGTCTTTTTTTGGGTATTCGTGCAGCAGTCATTCCGAGGCACTGCGTGTGAAACCATCTTCCACAAGTTTCACACTGAATCTACATGGGGATAAATACAACAAAGATATTTAGAAAATGTAAAGTGTAGGACACTTGTAAAGCAGGCATATTCATTTATATTTTATAGAGGTTATACTTGTTTTTATATATATATAAATACTTGTTGTTATTCAGGTTTATCTGTACTGTGCTAAAACTTTAACAAATTATAAGAAAAACAAAAGGAAACCTGTAATGCATAAATATATACAAAATGTCATTACTTTTATGTTATTCCTGAAATCTAACTCCAGATCTATATATTATCTACTATTCAGATTATCTTCTGGAGTTTCAAAACAATCTGTCATGTCTAAGAAACTTATTGTGAACGTTTATTCTTTATGTTAGTTTTGTCAGGTCCCTTTGTCCTGTGCTTTATGTTTATTCCAATAAGTAATTCTCCCTCTCATTTCAGGCCTCCACGCTCCCCGCCCCTATCTGTCTCCTGTGTCCGTGATTGTTTTCCCCGCCCTGATTGTTTCCACCTGTTTCCCCTTACCCTGTGTATATATTGTGCTAGTCCCCTCCTGTCCATTGCCAGTTCGTTTCCTCATTTAGGATACACGTACAAGCCTACTCCACGGACATATTACGTTCCTCTAAGCTCATGATCATAGTCCTTGTTTTTCCTCGAAAGAGCGTTATAGTTTTTCTCTGTTTTGTTACTGTGACAATACCAGTAAAGTCTTTATTTTGAACACTACCTGAGTCTGAGTTGAGTCGTGCATTTGAGTTCATGCCTCAGAGTTCTCTCCTTGACACAATTCATAATTTAGCCTCACCCAAACAGCATCAACAGCAGTGGTGGGCAGGTCCTCAATTCCACAGAAGGAACAGAAGTCATCCTTTGAAACTGACAAAAAAACCGGTGTATTACTGTTCAATTTACAGGAAGCCATCCATATATTAATTTAATATTTTTGGCTAATACCTGATCCTTTGAGAATTTCTTCTGCCATGTCTCTTCGTATATGTTGAAGACATTGTTGTGATGACTTGATGGAAACGTCTGTGGAATTTTCAGAAATTCCTTCACTGTCATCTTGGCCATCTGGACAGATGGTAAAATAACATGACGTTATGACGTGTTTTTGAATTTCCCTTTAAAATAAAAAGCTTTATTATTAATGAACACAACATGTTGCATTGAATCACCTGCATGACAAAGACTCCACAACTGGTGGCATATTTCTGGAAGGTGTGGGTTATCTTTCCAGGCTGCCATTTGATGTTAACCCAGTCCTCTTTTCCCAGTCTGTTCCGGCGCATCTTGAAATACTCTCTACTTCAACGCACGCCGCTGTGTGGACGGGCCGTAACGGAGCCTACACACGGCGGCGTGCGTTGCCGCTTCAACGCTTCTGCCCATTCACTTTGAATGGGGTGACGTCACGATTCGCCGAACTGCATTGTGGGAGCAAAGCGTAGCTTCTCTCGCGGTGCTCGCTGCAAAAGTAGAGCAATGTTCTACTTTTGCCGCCTCGACGGAGGCGTCAGCCAATCAAATCCCGCGTATAGACGTAAGCGACGCCGCCTCTTAGCTCCAAAGCTCTTGCCTCTAGACCGACAATATTTTGGAGCTGGAAGTGAACCGGATTCCGGAGCTAAGAGGCTCCAGCTCCGAGCCGGAGCTGAAAACGCGTTGGTGTGAAAGGGGCATCTGTGGTCACGAAGTACTCCACTAGCCCCCCCGTCCCCCGTCCCCCCCCCCCCGTCGACTTTCCTGAAGTACTCCCCCGTTAATAGAAATCAACACGTAATGAATTAAGACCCCACGGTTTGATGATTGATAGGTGCTCTCTTTCATTTTGACACACAATTTTTTTTACAATACACATGTTAAATGGATATATCTGCCTTCTTTCATTTATCTTTCCATTCCCACGACAATATACATAAAGAAATGACATATTTTGGACATAGTTCGAATGGTGATTAATCATGATTAATGAATTTTTAAGCTGTGATTAATCTGATTAAAATCGTTTGACAGCCCTATATATATATATATATATTGTTTTTTTTCAAGCTGTGGGACTGTAAGAAACGGTATTTCAATGTTTCTGTATGTATAACACATGTGGAACATAAATCTGCTAAATCTGTAATAAACATTTAGTTTTGTTCACAAAAATATTTATACAAATGTATCGGTGGAGTATAACAAACAGGAGACTATACCGATTGTAAATCGCTTTGGATGAGCGTCAGCTAAATGGAATGTAATATTAATGTGTGTAGTGAGTTTGGTAGTAATAAACTGTATAATAGTAAAATTATTGAAGATGATGCCATGTTTATTGAAGATTTTACATTATAAATATTCACCAAAATTATTCAAAAGCAAATCTTTCCAAACTCTGCTGTAGTCTGACCACCAGGAGACTATTGATGTGTGTAGTGAGTTTGGTTGAAATATACTGTATAATAGTGACGTTATTGAAGATTATACCATATTTATTGAAGATTTTACACTATAAATATTCACCAAAATTATTCCAAACCACATTCTTCCAAACTCTCTGCTGTAGTCTGACCACCAGGAGACTATTGATGTGTGTAGTGAGTTTGGTAGAAATGTACTGTATAATAGTAACGTTATTGAATATTATTGAATATTATTGTATTCTCTTTTTTCAGAGTTGCACTTTGCAGACGGTCCCTAAGCACTAATTTCTTCTCCGGCTGCAGATAAAGACCAATGTAATGTGTCCAGTTTGGAGGACGGCACGTATTGGCTTTTTTTTTTATCAACATGTGATTGTAGTTCGTTGTCAACCTTACCACCATTAATTTTTCCATTAAATAGCACTTCTTTATTAAATATTATGAATATGTCTTTATTATCAGGCTATGTTCCACAATCATTCAAAGTAGCAGTGATAAAACCACTTCTTAAAAAGCACAACCTCGATCCAGAGGTTTTAGCCAATTATAGACCTATTTCTAATCTTTCGTTCCTCTCAACAATTATTGAGAAAGCGGTCGCAAAACAGTTGTGTGATTACTTAAAAAACAATGATTTATTTGAAGATTTTCAGTCTGGCTTTAGAACACATCATAGCACAGAGACAGCTCTGGTTAAAGTCACAAATGACATTCTAATAGCCTCTGACAAGGGACGTGTCTCTATTCTTGTTTTGCTCGATCTCAGTGCTGCATTTGATACTATCGATCATGATATCTTATTGCAAAGACTAGAGCACTTAGTTGGCATACAGGGAACTGCTTTAGGCTGGTGTAGGTCCTATCTATCTGAACGCTCTCAGTTTGTACGTGTCAATGATGAATCTTCCACGCAAACCAAAGTTAGCCATGGAGTGCCACAGGG